ATTATACAAGATATGTGAGAATTTACTTTATTTGAAGAATAGAAAGTCTAAAAATTCTGAAAAGATCTAAGCTGATATTTCTTAACTAGTTTGAGTTCCAGAAACAATGAATAACGTAACAAAATCGCTTTGCTAATAAGTAATCGTTAAGTAGATATCTATGTTTATTTTTTAATAAGTAACTCACAAATGGCAACAGCTGACGATAATCTTGAGACATTCAGTCTGATTTGGCTTGATGCAGCAGTAAATACATCAAAAGAAAACGTTGCGGCTCAATCAGATCTTCGTTCTATCATTAACTATCTCAAAACATTCGACAATATTGAAAAGTGCGAAAAATACATTCGAAAGTCTCACGAATCTGATCGAATTGTACTCATCGCCAGTGGTGGCTTGGGAAAAGAAATAGTACCTCGAATTTTCAAAATTCGACAAGTTGTTGCCATATATATCTACTGTATGGACAAGAAGAAAAATAAGAAATGGGCTAAGCAATATTCAAAAGTAAAAAGGAATAGTGATTAGGTATAGTTTTCTAAGAATACTCTATTTAGGTCAAATTAGTAACCGTAAATCTTGATGATCTCATTCATCGAATCGAAAAAGATCATGTCAAGACGAAGAAAATCGAAGAGCAATGTGCAATCACCTTCTTAGAACGTGATTCAGTAATGGATCGGTCGTCAATTGGTCTCAATGGACAATATCTTCAGTTTCAACTATTGATGGATTCTCTTCTTCGTATAGAAAGCACCGAAGAAGATAAACAAGAACTAATTTCGATTTGTAAAAAAAAATACGAAAACAACAAAAAAGAACTAAGAAATATTGAAGAATTCAAGAATAATTATAGACCTGATAGAGCCTTATGGTGGTATACGCAGGAGTCGTTTCTCTATCGAATGTTGAACAAGGCCCTTCGCGTACAAGACACCAATTTACTTTATCTTCTACGATTTTTCATCTATGATCTTTGGAAAGCAATCGAAAAGAATCGATGTTCAAAACGCATTCGCATTTACCGATCTCAAGCGATATCGGATGACGAATTTCGTGGATTATCAAATTCAATGGGAAAATTAATTTCGATGAGTTCATTTGTCTCAACCAGTCTAGATCGAAACAGAGCCCTTGACTTTATCGATCCTACAGATGATCTTCAACAAATTTTCTTCGATATTGATGCTGATCCTCGAATTCATGGTGTCAAACCGTTTGCTGAAGTCAGCTCACTCAGTGCTCATCCCGACGAAAGAGAAGTGCTCATGTCAGTCGGATCTATTTATCGTGTTCTTGACGTTCGCAACACCGAAGGAAAGATTTGGACGATAAAAATGCAATTATGTAGCGAAGATGAAAACAACTTGCGAAGAACTTTAGAATACATGAGAATGGAAAATGTTGCCAAGAGTAACGAACAGAGACGTCTCCTGTTCGCCACGCGGTTGATGCATATGCATAAACTTGATGAAGCCGAGAAGCATCTTCTTTATTTATACCGCACGCTGCCTCATGGTCATAAGGATCTTGTTCTTTTGTATTCTAAACTTGGAGAACTCGCATTCGAAAAGGAAGACTTTCCAGGAAGTCTCACATGGTATCAAAAAGCATTAAAGCGAAAAAAGGATACGCTCAAATCGGATGATCCTGATCTTGCCAATATTTACAACAGTATTGGAAATGCCTATGCAAGGCAAAACATGTACCAAGATGCACATCAATCTTATAGCAAAGCTATGGAGATCTCGAAGAAAGTGTTTGGTGAAGAACATTTGGCCACCGCCCTGTGTCTCAGTAACATAGGGAATGTCTACATCCAAGAGAAACGATACGCCGAAGCACTTCAATGCCATAATAAAGCCTTGACGATTCGTAAAAAGCTCTGTCCTCCTGACCATCCAGATGTGGCTGCATCATTGCATAATTTGGGCCTTCTCTACCGATGCAATGGCCGCTTGCCAGAAGCGCTGAAAAGTTTCGAACAGTCGCTTGTGATCAAAGAAAAGTCTCTGTCGTACCAGCATCCATCTATTGGAACAACATTGGAGAACATCGCTTCCATTTATGAACAGAATCGTGAGTTTCATAAAGCACTTATGTATTACAAAAAAACGGCTGAGTGTTATCAAACTCATTATGAGCCCACTGATCGAAAACTTGTCAATATCGAACGAAGTATTCGAAATATCGAATCTAAATTGAAACAAAAGTAACACTATTTTATTTTTATGCAAGAAAATATGTCATATTTAATAAATAAACAATCATTTAAATTGAAGAAACAGAAGTATTAATTCATAAAATTATAAAAATCAAAGAGGAACATCGATACGAGCTTTGAGTTACAAAAATTCTGATATGTATCGTGCCTCTCTTGTTTTTAACTAAAATTAGTTATAAAAATCGGTTTGAAAAAGTAATGACTAACGGTAAATTGATCGTTTTTGTTAAAAATGTCAGTAATATAACATTGTGATGATAAAAGTAGGTATTGGTTAACATTGTCATATCCAGGGTTTTTTGCTAATAGAGACACTTACTTTCACTTATGACCTATTGCAATGCAGAATATTTGAATAATTGCAACTGTTGCCTAGCTGTCTCGAAGGGACATCATTCTAGACTTTGAAAAAGAAGTTCTCAATCACCTTTCTTGATTCTGTCTAAATTTTGAGAGCTTAGATATTTTTCTCGACTAATATTCGATAATTTATATGATTATAAAAGCAAACTTTGACTCCATCTCTATATAATTATTTCCCATCAGTGTAAATACTGCAGTTTCTAAGAGATGAAAAATGTCAATTATTTTTAGAAAATTAAAAGATCCTTTTCTTGTATGTAGTAATTTATTTGATAAAAAAGAACTTAAAATAATTCAGTAAAATAGAATAATTTAATGAATTCGATAGAAAACAATTTAAAATAAAAAATTAAATTTAAATAAAAACCAAAATAAAACAAAAATTATTATCCATTTCAAAAATGAGTATTATTGGAATAATTTTTGATAGAAATAAGAAAGAGATCTTCAGTTTCTACCATTTCAAAGAGGAGATCAAACTGCATCGATTCATGAATATCAGATTTTTTTTCATAAATTTTCTCAAGATCTTCCACCAAGTTTTTTACAAACAAACTCTGTGTGATATAAAAGTTCTAGGATTTTTATTTTCAGTAATCCAATAGAACTATTAACTGAAGTTCAATGATTTATGTAAGTCTATTGTTGAAATATTTAGCCAATTATGACTTATTAACATTTTATCACGTGTTAACGGCAGATTTTTCAAGTAACATTTACTTTTTGCTTATTTTTTGACGAAAACTTCACCTTACAAACTCATTGAAAAATCTCAACTTTTAAAACTATTTGGCGAGTGATCCTGAGAAAACTTGTCACAGAAGTTTCATACTCAAGATTCGATGCAATTTTATCTCCTCGTTTAAATGGTGAAAACCACAAATCTTTATCTAGTTCCTATTAAAAGTGATTCTGAAAATAGTCACCTTTCTTTTAGTTTTAAATAGATAATAATTTAATGTAAAATTGAGATATAAATACAAAAAACAAGTAAACCAAATCAATAGATTAAAAATTATATCGAAATTAAAAATTATTTGTTGATGTTTTGATGGAGAATTGACATGCTTCAGATTTGTTATTCTACACACTATTGAAGTACATTTTCAATATAGTTAAATGCTCTTGTCTCTTTATTTTTTTTTAATGCTAATTCAAGGGATAGAATACAACTATGATACTGGTAGGAGACGACACCACGGCTTCCTCATCTGTACCACTATCATTGTCTTCTTCTACTTCTTGTTGTATTTCATGTTTCTGTTAGAGTATTTATTGTTTTAAACTTTATTCTTTCTTATAGTTCTGTTTTTCTCATGTTGAAATATAGGATACAACGCTTTCATCTAATAAGTATGTCTGTTAATAACATTGTTAGCAATAGAATAAAAAAAATTATTTCACCCTTCTATTTTTGAAGTCTAGCTCATTATTGATAGTGAATGTACCCATACGATTGAAATTGCACTGACAGCACTTATCTTTATGAGGTTGTACTTTTTCTGAACGAAATTCTGCTTGATTTTTTTTTGAATAATTTTGTTATATTGTCTCATTTTTTTCCTCAACTCAACTTTTGTTTCATTATTATGAATGGCATTGCAATTAAATTCAATGGAGTATATTCCGAATTTCAATTTTATTTTAGTGTTAAAATCTAACGATAAATCAATTTTATTTGGTTAGGGGAAATATAATTTGATTCTTAATTTGTCCAATTTTCTTTTGAATATTTCTATATAAAGTACATATAATAATGAGATAAAATAGAATTTTTTTCTTTTCTATTTATTGATGAATTAAGTTTTATTTGTGATATTGTTATTTGTTGTTGACTTTCAACAACAATAAAGCTTGATGGATGGGTGAAAATGATATACGCTCTACCCTGCTAGTTTTTTTTCCTTTGTTGGCATGTCATCATCATGAACAACAAGTAGAAGTTTTTTTTGCTAAGATCTGACTTAACTCTTAACTCACAATAGATGGAACAAGTAGTACATGCGATTGAGAAAAATTTCATGTTTCAATTCTGTACTGTTTTCTAGAAAACAATCATTTATTATTTCAATCACTCTTTTCACACATATCTTGAAAATTCGATATCTCGAAACTAAATCCTGTCGATATTTTTTATACCTCATCGAGGTCTAACTATTGCCCAACGATGTGGTTTAAAATTTTTCAACACTTAAATGTGCTCCCTCGTAAGTACTAAGTCATTTTAGTTCCAGTGGACAAGAATTACTTGATGATACTCGTTTTTTTTTCTCATATTATTTTCATTCTATTCGCAGTATTAAAATTGTTCGCAAGTTCTACTCATCGAATACATAGATATGTAAATTTCTACTTGATTTCTGATTTAAAGTAATATTAGGATGGTGTTTGAAATTTATTTATTAGATAAAATTTATGAGACAACAAACTTGATATATCGTTGATAAGCTTGAGGGCAATATAAAGGTGCAAGTTCAGTATAGATGATAGGATCAAAAACGCGGATGGCTTGTGTCGAACCACCAATTTGAAGATAACAAGTAGCAATGCGTTCATCATACTTTGCTTGTAAGTCCAGAAGATGACATATACATTCTTGCCAACATCTTCCACTAGCTTCTTGATTTTTTGATAATAAACAGTTCATAGATTGTTTCTCATAATTGATTATCATTGAATTAATGTACTCAGATCGACATTTTGGTATTGGTTCATTTGTTTTTTCAACACAAATTAGGCGTCGATGTATACTCCGTATTAATGGCACATAATTGATACAAACTTTTATTAAAATTTCAAGCATTTCCTTAGGTCTATCTTCGATCAAAAAGATAATTTCAGATTGAATATTTTCGAAATTTGTTGAGTCATAATTAAGATATATTTCAAGTAGATTTGAATAACTATCGATCGTAGACGTTGTATCAATAATAGCCATTTTTTTATAATAATATCTAATAAGTTTTAAATAATGCTGTTTATCGAATTCAGGATTCACTTTGTCACAATAGTAACGTAGAATTTGAATTATTTTTTTATGAATTGGAATAATCGATTTATAGAAACGATCTCCAAGCATTCGTAAACGATCGATAATAAGAGCAATAATATCATCATCTTTAAATATAATTTTTGCGGGACATTCATAAATGAATGTACACAGTTCATCATAAATATGAATGATCATTTCAATTTGATTATTTATATTTTCAGATTCAAGAGCTATTTGTGTAAATACTGAGACAATGTGTTCTCGATCATCGAAATATTTTAAGATAATTTCAATAAAACGTTGATAAATATTGATAGCTGCCAATGGATTATCAATGAGTTGATAATTGAGTGCTGTTTTCAGGAAAGTAGGCATAATAGTTCGCACATACAAAGTTAAATTAACATTTTGTGACATGAATTCAACATAGAATTCATAAATTTGTGCAGTTATATGTAAATACTTATTGTTTCCTCGATATTGAGCGATAATTTTCTGAAATTCTTCATCGATATGAATTAAATCATTTGATTTTTTCGTCACTAGTTGAACAAGATACTCGAGAATCGTTATGATTCGTTTTTCATCATTGATCATTTTTTCAAAACTCAATTCAATAATGTTTACAATAGATCGATGGAATTTACAGGTATTATTACTATATACTAATAAATAATGAATAAATCTTCTATAAATGGAGATACATGATGTTAAATCATGTTTTGTTCGATAGTAGAAGGCCAATTTAAAAAAACATGTTCGAGTATGTTTACATAAGTGTGGATGTTCTTCAAAATAATAGATTGCATCAATATACCAATTATATTCTTTAATCAAATTGTTTTCCATTTTGTATAAATGAGCTATATAACAAAAGGCATCTTCACCAATACACAATTCTTGATCTTGTTTATGACGTTGTTCAAGATCAGATTGATAAAAATTAATGATTTGTCCAAAATTACCTTCGAGATAATTTAGATTAGTTTTGAAAATAAACTGTACATTCATATCATTTGGTATGAGTTCAATAGAACGATGAAGCAATTGATTCGCTTTAATTGTATCATTTTGTTCTTGGTTAAGAGCAGCTAACTTAAAACAAAAATAGGCAAGACGACGTTCCAATTTTTTCTCATGAATTATATTAGGATTAAGACCTTTTTTAAATTGTCCAAATGCGAATTCGTCACGTTCAAATTGAAACATGTTTTCTACAATTTTAAACTGAAAAGGAGGTAATGATAAATCTGAATCACATAATTTTAAATGAATATCATCTGGACTTGGTGTTGAACAAATCTCTTTATATTGTTCTTCATAAATATCAACCAAACTTGTATAACAATCATAAATTGCTTTCAAATCATCTACATGACATACTTTTAAAATTTCTGATGCACAATTAATTGCCATTAAATATTTATGTTTTAATCGATAAATTTGAGCCAATTGCTGATAACATTGAAGAATATTGCCATAGTAGTCAGGACAAATTTTCAGATATTTTTTCGATATTTGAATTACTTTTTCAAAACAAATAATTGCATTATCATACGATCGTTCATTATTTCGAAATTTAAAACCAATAGATAATGCACCTGAAATTATGCATTGACGATAAGTTGATGATATTTCATGAAAACTTAAATCAAAAAACGCTTTCCAATTATTAGACCATTTGATTTCTTCACTTATATTTTTTGAATTTATAATATCAGAAAGACCAGCTTCAGCAATAGCTAAATATATAGCAGAATGAAATTGATTTGATTTATTCGTTTCATAAGTTAATATATCTTTGAACATTGCCCAAGAAAGATTGATACGGTTGGTAAGTTTATAAAGTGAAGCAATATTTATTGAAGCTATATGAACAAATGAATTATAAAATGCATATTTATCAATTGAAATTATCTTATTATCTATCTTATATGCTTTCATATGAAATTCTAGTGCGTTCATATAGTCTTTCTTTTGTCGATATATAGCACCAATGCAACAATAACTTATCACATATAAATAATTTAAATATGAATCATTTCCTAATTGTTTGCATATATTTAAAGCTTGTTCTACATAATCAATAGCTATATCGTACTGTTTTTGTTGAAGTGTTAGCCAACCCAAACCAACATGACATGCTGCCTTGATAGTCTGATTAAAACTATGCGTTAATAAATGTTGATAAAAAATATTAGCTTTATTTGTTTTACATTGTTCATTATGATGTGATAGAAGATTACCAACTTTTATAATTTTCTCTTCGATAGTACATGTTTGCAATGAGTTGTAATCGTTAGTAACAGTATAATGATCCTCATCGAAGATAAATGTCATTTTTACTGTCCATAATTGATCATTATCATTGAATTCAATGTGATCAATACGGAAAAATGATCCAATCGAAAATAAAACTTCGTATTCTGCAGACCTATATGCACTTAAGTGGCCAATATATGCAAATGGTTTACGACATACTTTAGCAGAAGTTTTGAATTCGGCACTTATTTCAATCATCACTGGTATTAATGAATCATTTGGAGCACCTTTGATATAGGTTAAAGCAACATTACGCATGATAGTTGTCGAAAAGTAACTATTGACTGTGATTAAGGAACCATCTCGACGTTTTTCATTCAAAGCATCGATTTCATATTTAAACAGTAATTGACCTCTATAAAATGTCATGATATCACCTATCTCATATAAACTAGAAAATTCATTATAAGCATTCAATAATTGTGCACGTATATCAAGTAAGAGAAAATGAAAAGCAAATATTGCTTCAATATTTTGTTGACGAAGTGCTTTGTTAACACGTTTATAAAGAAATGTATCACGGGTATAATAATTGATTGCACAGTTAGGTGTATAGCTTGAATTTGATGATGAAATAAAATCTGCAATTTCGACAAGATGCCGCGGACTATGTGCATAGAAACGTTGACATTGATTGGCAAAATGATTTCGATGTTCTTGATAAGTAAAATCTGTTGATAGAGGCTAAAAACAATACGAAAATTATAATTAGATGGTTATGATTGAAAATGAAAATATTTACGAATATTATTTTCAATATTCTGTTTTCAGCTGATAAGATGGAGAACATTTCAAAATAAGCATTCGAAAGATTTAAACTATGCAGGGTGACGACTGTTAATAAGTTATAAAATTACATGTATATATAGAATAAAATGAATATTCTTTGCTAACTTTGCAGACGTTTCCATACATTGCAGTTATAATTTTGACATGAGCTCTAATCCTCGAGATGCAATTTCTCGGTGAAAATTAAAATGATGCCATCATGTTACATACTTTTATTTCGTAGGAAAAGTATTGATAGTTTACTTTTCAAAGTTTGAAGTTAGTTTCATTTTTGAAGCATAAGAATCTTCCTGGTTTTACGCGAAAACACAGTAAAATAATTTGCTAGATCTTGACTACAGTATTGATTTACTTACATGTCGCCACTACTTAACGAACATTCTTAAAACTTTCTTGAGTACTATTATCGATTTCAAAAGTTTCTAAAACATCCTTTTGATCTTTCTTATTTACTTGATATTATGATGAAATATGTGAGAATGACAGTAAGATAAATAAAACATGATGTAGTAATCATGTCCTAAATTTACTAACGAAGGGTAAACTTTTCTCCAAGTCGTTCTGACAGAAATGTTGATCAACATCTAATATCTATAAATGTGAATAGAAATTTTAAGAGAATATTACAGATTTCACTCATGAAACTCAGAAACTATAGGATTGAGATTGGCTAATGCACCTCGAAAACGATCTATATCTTACCAGATCGAAGAGTAAATCGATGAAAAGTGGATACCATAATTCAGAATAATCGGCAATATTATTGACAACATTTGTTGTTCTTTCCATATGACATCCTTTAAGTGTTGATAGCGGAATACGCCATTTTTCTGAAAATATACTAACATTATTCGAAAGTTCGATTAGTAGATCTTTGGGATCGATAAAAATTTTTCTATGAACCTATAAAAAAAAGTCATTTGAAAAGAATAAATGAAAAGAATCTCTATTTAAAAACATACTTTGCTATATTGTTCAAATGAGATATTTATATTAAATTTTGTCGGATTGAAAATAAATATAGATTCGATTACACGAATATCATGAATATCTTGATTAAGAATTTGGTGAAAAAAATCAATATGAATAATAAAAAAAATTTGTTCATATTGTGGATTGCCATGTTTATCTCGAATAAATTTTTCACAATCTTTTATATTTTCCTTTACATGAATGTTTCCAAAAATATCTTCAATTTGATCTCTAAGAATTGCACCCTGTGATGTTGTATTATATTCTGACGAGACCAACCAAAGTGCTCTAGGTAATTCCACATTGACTCTTGGCTTCTGTGAATGTGTCATATTTTATGACACTCTTTCATATAAATACTACCGATGTCAGTAGAAATAAAGAATATGTTTAATCTATGAGCAAGAAAGCAATTGACACAATGATTGCAATGAAAAATGAAATGAGGAAGTAGAACTTTTTCATTCCTTTAGTTGGAAAATATTGAAGAATATTAATAGAGTTGGTGAAAAATTTACAATAAATGCTATGACTCATGTCTTGTCATGTTCGCTTGCTTTGAAGAGCATTACTGTAAAGAAAAAAGCTTTCACAAAGTACGTCAGCAGCAATTTCGTCAATGTGCTATGTTTAACTGTTTCTTTTCTTTCTTCCAGCTTGTTAATCGTGAATGTATACTTAAAGGAAGGAAGAAAATTTAACTTGATCATCATTAACTGTTTCGTGGGAGAAAACCAACTAATATTATGGCTCAGAAAATGTATTCTATTCATTGAAATACATTCATTTAAGGAAGACTAACGTCGCGCGTCGTTTCTTTTCATTTACAAGAATTTAGCATATTAAACTTGGAAAAATTTTTGTTTGTTTTATCGGCAATGGATACTTGTCAATTTTCATATATTTCCCGAGCAACTCTTCAAATCACTACAGCACTTGGTATAGAACGATCTTGGAATGATTTGAGGAGTGAATTTGGTCTTTCTGTTAGTCCTCTAGTTGGCGCTACATATTACAAAACAATTAGTTTGAAAGGACCCCAATTATTTGCTGTCGATAAACAAGAGTGTGTTTGGTATCATGATGATGGAAATTGGTTTCGTTACAACACAGCTACTGATATAAAATATGATACAATAAATTATTTTAATTCAAATCGAGCACAAAATGAATTAGAAGATCGTCTGGTTTTTGATATGATAGCACAACAACCAGAAGAACCCAATGACATGAGCAAAGAATTTGAATAGTGACCGTTTACAATCATTAGAATAAAGTTAAACTTATATGAAAAACAAATGTTAGTTAGTCACATTTGTTTTTACAAATTCTTCTTATCACAATTTCTAATGCACCAATATTACAAGTGTTACATTAATAAATAAGAAATAACTACAGATATTTAGGGTATATCAAAAGTAACGAGACTTTCAAAAAAAACTATAGAAACAAGTTATTTCAGATTTTATTTCTTTAGATGTTCAAAGTAGCTGCTCAGATTATTTAAACACAATTATATTTGTTCACACATTAATCCCAAGTTTTTTTTTTTGTAATGATCTTTGTTCATCGAGTTTATGATTTTGGTTACAACACCATGTAAAGATTTTGAGTAGTGTTGTTGATTTATATACTGTTTGATAAGATTAAATAATCAAAAACTCATATGATGTTAGATCTGTAGAATTCAGTGGTTATTGAATAATTTTGATACTTTCCTATTCGAGGTTGTTGGAAACATCTTTGCTTGCATGTGATTTGGCGTTGTTGTGATGAAGCATTATAGCATGCAGACCGGATGTTAATGGTTTCTTCCGAGTTTTCTCGATGAAAGATTTCAAGACTTTATCAATGGCTTCTTTTTTATCACTCTGATGAATTAACAAAGGATCAAACGTTTTGCAAAAGATGGCAAACAACGTTTTTGGAGCAAAGCGATTACGTCGAAACACAGAGTACAGCTTATTCAATTGGTATTCAGGCAACATTCGATGATTTTCGACTATTTTATTTATGACAAGGCCAAACCTGTTCGGCTCGTTCAGTATTAGTCAGCAAGTTGAATCTCTAACAGGTAGTAATTATTTGCAACTTTAAATATTCAGAAATAATTTGCTCAACTATATCATGACTCATACTAGTCTCTCATTGGATATTATCAATGAGACAACAAACTGATTTAATATTTTTAGATGTTATCTAGGTTACAGACTTACTTAATCATATTTGATTTTCAATCTTTTTTTT